AATATAGGGTAGGGATTGACAGCTGGGGAACCTGCATGGGATCAGACTAGACCCTCTGAATGTGGGTGGCGGTTATGTGACTTGATCTGTTGTGCTGGGGGTGGGGGTAGGGGGGTGGCAATGGCAGCAGGACCTATCCCAGGGGCATGAACTAGCTTTTTGGAGCCCATTCCCTTGCTCCGCCATAACATAGCGGGGGGGGGGGGGGGGTGCTTGTTCCTGCCTCAACTTGGTAGGCCAGACTTGGTTGACTCCTCAAGGAAGGTCTCACCCCCTCTGAGGAGTGGATGGGAGGTGGGAAGGGGGGATGCAGGGAGTGAGAGAAGGGGCAGGAGGGGGAACATCATTTTTTAAATAAAAAATTGGGTGGATAGGAAGATATGGATCTTGAAGAAATTGGAGGAGGGAAAACATGGTCAAAATATATGAAAAAATATTTCAATTAAATTGAACCAAAAGAAACAAATATTTAGTAATAAATTTAATGAAGGAAACATTTTACTACATATCACTAATAAATTTTTGTACCACAAAAAAGAGAGACTTTGGGTTTTTAGACATATTCTGTATATTATAGAGATTAAATGTTTCAGTTAGGGTTTCTATTGCTATGATAAAACTCCATGACCAAAAAAGGGTTTATTCCAACTTACTCCTAGTAGCCCATCTCCCAGGAAAGTCAGGAAAGGCAGGAGCTGAAGCAGAGGCCATGGAGGATGCTGCTCACTAGCTTGCTCAACCCTCATTCTATCCAGGGCCACCTGCCCTTGGAGGGCACAACCTCCTATGAGCTGGGACCACCCACATCAACAATCCAGAAAATGCTTCACAGGCTTAAATACAAACCTATCTTAGGAAGGCATTTTCTCAATTGTAGTTCCCTCTTCTCAAATAATTCTAACTTGTGTCAAGTAGAAAACAACAACTCTGGATTTCACTAGTATCTCTCCGGGTGTTACCCTCTTCATATCTAATTTTACTAATGGATCTTTTCCTCTGTTGGTTAGTTTGATAAAGGGTTTCTCGGTCTTGTTTATATCCTCAAAGAACCAAATCTACATTTTGCTTGACCCTTTGATATTGTTCTTTTCATTTCCATTACATTAACTTCTGCCCTGACCTTTACTATTTTCTTTCTGCTAGTTTCAGTTTTTCCTTATGTTTCTTTTGATGTTTGTTTGTTTGTTTGTTTTCTTGTTGTTTTTGATACAGCCTCTCACATAGCTCAGCTTGGCTTCAAAATCACTATGTAATCAAGGAAAAGATAGGGTTGAACACTTGGTTCTCTTGTTTATATCTTGCAAGTGTTCTCTTGTGTTTGTAAGATCTGGAACCGTGGCTGTCTCCTAATGCTGAGACCTCTAACATTCCCTCATGTTGTAGAGACCCCCAATCATAAAATTATTTTCATTGGTACTTCAAAACTGTAATTTTGCTATTATTATGAGTTGTAATATAAATATCTGCATTTTCCGATGGTCTTAGGTGACCCCTATGAAAGGGTCATCAACCACAGGTTGAAAACCACTGACCTGGAGGAACCTGGAGATTCTTTGATTTTTTTCTCAATATGGGCAATCACAGCTATGAGCTTTTCACTTAGAACTGGCTTTTCTGTATCAGCTTCTATTTTCATTATATTTAACTAATAGAATTTTAAAAGTTTCTTCCCTACTTTCTTGAAGACCTACTATTTATTCTGAATATTTATTGTTCCAGTTCGTGTTTTCAAGTTTCTGTAGATAGTCTTGTTGCTAATTTCTAGATTTATTCCATTACAATCTGCCGATAATTGGAATTATTTCAATTGGTTTGTATTTGTTAAAAATCACATTAAGAAACTAGCAAAGAACACTCATACCACTTGGTGCTAAAAAGTTAATAATCTAACAAAGCTCAAGTAAATACGGAAACAATAGTCCCAAGCAGAGAATATTTGTATTAACAAGGAAGTATTGAAGAATTTTTACAAACTTCCTATATTTAATCTCCTTGCAACACAGGATGCAGCAACCAAGGACCACTGGACAAAGCTTGCCTGAGACTCGCAGAAGCCTCTGCAACCAACCACATCCCCCACCTCTCAAGTCCCCCTCCCCCAGCCATCACGGGACCGTTGAACCCTCCTGGCAGGTGAACAAGGCTAGAAGCCGCTGTCAGCTCTTGTGTTTCCGGTGAGGAGATGAGAAGTATGAGCTACTATATGGTTTTGAAATGAATTCAAAGTTGTGATTTTGTAAGTGACTCTAAAATTCAGATGTATCCGTTTAACCATTGTTCAGACTCCAGGGAAAAGGGGCAGAGGGTTGTTTATGTGTAACAAAAAGTAAAGTTCGGTCAACCATAAGATCCAAAGGACCAACGGTGTCCCTAACTTGGATTGTACGATGAGTGTTTATAGGTGTGTGAGTAAACAGCTAAAAACATCATCATCTAGGAATTTCTTTGGGATGAGAGGGAAAGTGAGCTTCCACAAATTGCCTATGTTTATTGTTACTTTATTTTTAAAATATTTTCAAGATTCTGAGATGAGGATACTACTCAGTGAGTAAAGTGTTTGCTTGTCAAATATAAAGACCCGAGTTTGGGTCCCCAGAACTTGTAAATAAACACCAGGCATGGTGACGCTGTTGTCTTCCCATCTCTAGAAGGCTTGGACAGAAGGATCTTAGACTCAGAGGGTATTAAGTCTAGCCATGGTGCACTCCAGGTTCAAGAGACAGTGCCCTTAAAAATACAGTAGAAGGTTCAGCAGGGATCAGCGGTTCGGAGCACTTGGTGCTGTTGCCTCAGAGACCTGGGTTTGGTTCCCAGCATCCGCTTGTCGGTTCACAGCTGCCTGTAACTCCAGTTTCAGTGGAGTTACAGTTCCAGCGCTCTCTTACCATCTCCCGGCCACTAAGCATGCACGTGGTACAAAGACCCACATCCAGGCATTCACACTACGTGTAAAATTAAAAATATAGAGAGCTGGAGAGATGGTGTGGTAGTTAACAGCTCTTGTTGCTCTTCCAGGAGACAAACGTTGGGTTCTCAGCACTGATATACATGGTGGCTCACAAACATCCTTAACTCCAGTTCCAGAGAATTTGACACCTTCTGTCTCTGCAGGCACCAGGCACACATGTGATGCCTACACTACATACAGATGAAACACGCATACACATACACAAAATAAATATTTTTAAGTAATTTAGGTAAGGAACAATATATAAAAACATCAGGCTGACCTCTGGCCTTCACATGTGCTCATGTATGTGTATACACCACTTACAAATGTACACGCACACACAAATATTTGCAAGATTCAGAAATTATCAGTTTTAAGGCCGGGCATTGGTGGCGCATGCCTTTAATCCCAGCACTCGGGAGGCAGAGGCATGCGGATCTCTGTGAGTTCGAGGCCAGCCTGGTCTCCAGAGCGAGTGCCAGGATAGGCTCCAAAGCTACACAGAAAAACCCTGTCTCGAAAAACCAAAAAAAATAAAAATAAAAAAAAGAAAGAAAAGAAATTATCAATTTTAACAAGAAATGGAGTGATCATATGGATTCATCTGCTGTTATATGACTTAGACACAGCTGGAGCTACTACATCCACAGCATATCATGAAACATATGCTGTGGAGTCAGAATGCCTGGGTTGAAATTCTCATTTAGCCACTGATCTGCAGAATGACTTGGGTAAGTGATCTGGGATTTCTCTTTTTAATTTTTTTATTGCACTGATTAATGGGAATTGGGGGGGGGGCATGAGCTTGCTGCACACCACATGTGCAAAGGTCCTGGGGATTAAATTCAGGTCCTCAGGTTTGGCAGCAAGTGAGTGCATTTACCTGCCAAGCCACCTTGGTAGCCCAGGACCCCAGGAATTTTTCTAATTTATTGCTTCATGATGTAACTAATGTTATCTACCTCACAATTCTTTGAGGAGTGAAATGAATTCAACACATGCCCAATGCTTAGAATAATACATAATAATTGCACAGCCGATCCTGAAAAAGCCAACTATCAGTTTTAAAAGGTTTCCCTCACATAACACTTAAGTAATATTTTCCAAATTGAGTTTAATCCTCATAAAAGCTTATTTTATGGAAAATGACAATAACAACAAAATACCTGATTTATGTCTATTTAATAGTGAAAGTAACATTGTTTTCTTCCTGCTTAGACTGAAAGCTTGATTTAATTAGTTATATTATTAGTAATACTAGCCTTTGTCCCTTAATGTTGCTCTTTCCATTACAGGCATTTCTCCCTTGCATTGACTTTCAATAGTTTGTAAATATTATCAATGGAGCAAATAAAGAAATCACCCATTTATGGAGTTACTTTTAAATGGTTTGTAAGCTTTATGAACAAGATAAATAACAAATGCAATTTCATGTAAAGTGATACAGGTACAGACACGATTGTGTGTTTTACAGGGATACTATTTGTCTTAAAATGAATTTACACTTTGGGAATCCAAAAGGACAACATTGAAGGCAACAGTGTAAGCTGCTGCAACAATAAACAAAGAAATGTTTCATTAAAATACTTTATAAAGTATGAAGTCATGTGTTTTTTTTTTCAAATAAAGGGAAGCTTCCAGGGATGTGGAAGGGAAAGAAGAAAAGGTAGAATAAAAGACTAGAGAGTATATGAATATGATCAATAATATATGTATGTACATACATTATAGAAATGTCATGATTAACCCCTTCATTTTGTACTGCTAATATACACTAATATAGCAATATTAAAAGATAAATTATAAAAGATAAAGTGAAAAGAGAGAATTTTGCTATGTGAAGTCATTTAACTTTTAAAATGAGATTAAGAAACATTGTCTCATGGGTAGTTTCCTTCTGTCAAAACATCAATTCTTTTCAGAAACCCCTGTGATTCTAATTATACAAAAGGATGGACATTTGCCTCTTCTGTACTAATACGATAGGGTAAAAAGATTGTATTGAATTGGTATGACTTATTTTAAAGGTCAAATGGAAAACCCAGCTGCTATGGAAGATTTTGATGACTTAACTCAGTCATCTGAAATATCCTCATTTGGCAAGTTTCCTTGCCCTAATTATGAAGCTGTATTAAAGCTAATTGAACATCTTAGCCTGGAATGCAAAGGTAAGCCCACTGTGTGCAGAAGAGCAGTAGCTGTACACACTGCTTAGCACTGCACCCCAGAGCACTGCTGTGTCTTAATGCATGGCAGAGGCATGCTATATAATTTAAGGAGGATGGGAATCATACATAGTTAGCCAGACATTTTATTATTTCTACTGTGTTTTCCTCAGTGTGATTGGTATGCTGCATTTTTAATGTCACACTCCCTTGAGTGTTTCCTATGATTGGATCAGGTTATCTTTGTCTCCATTTGGGAAACCTTATAATGCTTTGGAATTGTTTCTCTGCTAACCTCACCCATTCTTGAGACCATGATCTACTTCACAACCCTAATCATAGATTGTTAACGATTAAGATGCAATCATGTCAACTCTTTGCTTAAGACCCAGCAATTGCTCTAATTTCATTATACTGCTTGTCTGTCTGTCCATCCTGTGTCTTAGATGTTCTTGTAATGGAGCTCTTTGTTTCCTATATATTTAGTGACTTAGTGCAAAGTATATCATTGGAAAAGTTTTGACACATTGCTAAACGTGTTAACATATGTTAAACACATGTTTAATCACCATATCAAGATAGTAACAAATCCACCACTTAAGAACCTTTTTCCCACACTTCCTTTATAATCACTTTAAAGATCACAAAACTGTTTCCATGTTTGTACCATCTTCCATTCCCTCCCTTTACAAGTATAGATATTGTTAGCTGTTTTTAATTTTTGCCATGGATTTTAATGCATACAACACAAATTACATAGAACACAAATCAATAACAATGCTCAACATTTCTCCATGTGTTTGTTTTCATTTGTATGTTTTCTTTGGGAACATCCCCAGTCCTTTGTTAAGTAAAAATCCAGATTGCTTGTTTGTTTGATTATAGGTTTGTTGCATATGTTCTTGATATCATTCCTTCATCAGCTGTGCTTTTTGGTAGACCTGTCCCTACTCGAGTTTTTGGATTGTCTATGTATTCTATTTATAGTGTCTTTCTTAGTGCTGTTTTTTTTCTTTTGTACTGGAGAATGGGCTCAGGGCCCCTCACATTCCAGGCAAGCATTCCAACATTGAACTACATCCTTAAACTTTGTAAGATATTTTGAAAGAGCAAGAATTAAAATTTTTATAAAATCCAGTTTGTGTTTTGTTCAGTTATGGATTTTGATTTGGGGGTCATATCTAATAAATCATAGAGGCTAGTCTTTGTCTAGAAGTTTGAGGTCCATTTGGAGTTTATTTTAATACCAAGTTCATTTTGTGGCTGTGGATATCATATATACATATATATATATATATATATATATATATATATATTTATATCTCCTGTTGTTCTTGATCAACATATTGGAAAGTCTATTCTTTCTCCCTAGGGCTCTCAATGAGTCCTTCCAAAGTCATTTGTTTTTCTTTTTAAGTGTTTAATCTGTTCCTGTAGGTTATATTGTTCTTCACTGTTTTATTTGGCTTTCTTTATATTAGTGTTTTGATCACTATATGTTTGTTATATTTTAAATGAACCCTGTTCTTGCTGTTTTTTTCAGGGTAATATTTATAGTCTAGATCTTTTGCATTTCCATGTAGTTTTTCGGTTGGCTGATTTTATTTGCATTTGCTTTTGTATAGTGGTAAGGATTAAATATAAATCTTTGAAAATATTCCTTAGATCCTCAGCTATTGATGTTCATGTGAATTTTAGAATCATCTTGTTGATTAAAAATAATTGACAATTTTAATTAAAAATAAAAAAACCCACTTTGTGGTCCTGCTGATCATTAGACTGCCAAACATTAACATCTTAACAGATCTTCAAACTACTAAGCAACAGATTGCATTTATTTTCTTGAGTAACATTTTATATTTCCATGTTATTAAAATTTCCATGTCTTTGTGCAGTGTGTGTGTGTGTGTGTGTGTGTGTGTGTGTGTGTGTGTTGCCTTGGAGCTTTCTATCTATCTATCTATCTATCTATCTATCTATCTATCTATCTATCTATCTCTCTGTCTGTCATCACTATTTCTATATATGTGTGTTCATGTGTGTGGATACTTCTATATTTTATCAGTTTTGTCTGTATTTCAGATATGATAAAATAATATTCACCTTGTAAAATGGCATTTTATTTTAACTAACACATAGTAAAGTATCTTTATTTATATTTATGGAGCTCAGTATAGCATTTTAATATACATGCACAATGTATAATTATCAAAACTCTGCTTTTATATATCTATAACCTCAAGAATTAGTGACTTCTTTGCTGTCAGAACACTGAAAATTCTCCCTACTGGCTATTTTGAAATAGTTAATGTTAGGCATAGTTATCCTATTGTGCTATGTGGGCACAAAAGTGTCTCTTCTCATTCAACTGCTTCATGCCTCTTTATATGCTTTATATTTGTTCAGCGTAAAAATGAGTGCATTGACAACATACGGTCTTTCATATGCAAAACATACTCATCTATATTTCCATATTGGTTTCCCCCCATTCAGATTCTGATAGTCTATTGAAAATCCAAGATACAATTCATTCATATAAAAGGCTAATACAATTTAAAAGTAGTCACTGCAAAGCACTTGAAGGAAAACTCGGAATTATGGAAAATGAAGTGACTGGACTACATAAAAAGCTCTCAGAAGCAGAACATGAAAAAATAAAGCAAGAACAAGAGCTCTACAATCTAAGGTATGACATCTCAGTGTTAAAAATGTCTGAGGGCACCCAGCCTACAATCCACAACTCCAGAGAAGCTAGGACCCTCTCCCCAAAACAGATGGAAGCAGATGCAGAAATCCATAATTTACCATTGGGCCAAGCTCCTGGAGCACAATCGAAAGTGAGGAAGGAGCGATAATATGAACAAAGCAGTCAAGAGCATGATGGGGAAACCCACAGAATCAGCTGACCTGAGCTAGTGAGAGATCACTGACTCAGGTCTGACAAATGGGGAACCTGCATAAGACAGAACTAGACTCCCTTAATATAGGTGACAATGGTGTGACTGGGACAATATATGAGGCCACTGGCAGTGGGTCCAAGATCTAACTCTAACGCACAAACTGAATTAGTGTAGCACATTCTACATGGAGAGATACCTTGCTCAGCCTAGACACAAGGGTATGGGGGGTGGAGAGGTGCCTTGGTCCTGCCTCAACAAGTTGATGGGACAGACTTAGTAGACTTCCTAGGAGAGGTCTTACCCTCTGCAAGGAGCAGATGGGAGGAGGGAGGCAATTGGGGGAGCAGGAGGAGAGGAGGGAGGTGGAACTGGGATTGGAATGCAAAAAACAAATTAGTAGAAGAAGTCTGAGTGTTAGGGAATAAAGCTTAGTGGTAGAGTACTTTGCTTAGCATATGTAAGGTCCTAGTTTTTATCACCATGGCTACAGCAGGGGGGACTATAGCAGGAGGGGGGAATCAAATTTTGAGCTGGTTGTAGTAGGGTGTATAATCCCAGCACTTGGGGAGCAGAGGAAAGTCAATCTCAAATTCAAGGCCAAAGGGAAACACAGTTGAAGAAGTTGAGGAAGAGAAGAAAGACAGGAGGGAGAGGAGGAGGAAAAAAGCAAGGAGGGAGAGAGGCGGAAGAAGAAAGAAGCACCAGAGGCTCTCTTAGTCTTTGAAATATGAAATTTTGGCATTGACACAAAAGTGAGCAATTACCTTAAAGGGAATAATAGTTTATTCTGGAGCAAAATGTCATGGCCTAAAATACCAACATGGTCACAATTTTGTGGACTTTTTATAGTAAAAGAAAAGAGAACATCATAAATTAAGGTATTTTTATTTATTCTCTTCTCGTGCAACCCATCCTGACTGCAGCCTTCCTCCCTCCCCTCCTCCAGGTTCTCCCCCTCAATCTCTCCTCTCTTCCAGATCCACTGCTTCCCTGTTTCCCTTCAGAAAAGAACAGGCCTAGGCACAATAAGACTAGGCAAAACTCTCATATTAAGGATGGACAAGACAACTCACTAGGAGGAAAAGGGTCCTAAGAGCAGGAAAGAGAGTCAGGGACACCCCCACCCAATTGATATCTGCTATAGACCAAGATGCTATCTGCTAACATACTTAGCCTTTGGGTTGAAGTCTACTGTTACCTTTCAAAAAGGATCTCATCTAATAGTCAGGGATGTTCACCCAAACAGATGAACAATTTATGACTGATAAGAAAGCAGAATATATCCCATGGTGTGCAACCTCCAAGCTCTCCACAATTGCAGATTTATAAGTCAGTCAGATGTGTTTTGGGAGGGAGATTTCAGGCCATAGCTCATCTTTTGGGCAAGAATCACATTTTGTGTTAAAAGACACAAATACTGTTTTATGTTCCACTGTACTAGGAAGGCTCATTTCTAGGATCTTTTATAGATCTTTTATGGATAAGGCTAAATTAAGAGAAAGGGAATGAGAGAGAGAGAGAGAGAGAGAGAGAGAGAGAGAGAGAGACAGAGACAGAGACAGAGACAGAGACAGAGAGAGAGGGAGGGAGAGAGGTGAGAGGAGAGAGAGAGAGACAGGGAGAGAGAGAGTTAAGGCATTAAGGAAGAAATCCCTGAGTTATACCACATAATGTAGCCATGGTGATTCTGATTATTTCTTCTCTTCTTTGTTTTCGTTCTTCTGTATCTAACATAGCATGTACATGTGACATAATAATACTCAAAGTTAAAACCAAGAACACAGTATGGCCCCACAAAGTAAAGACAGAAGAGAGAAACAAGAATTTTTTTTGACAAGACACAGAAAACTAATTTTATGCCATCTTGACTCAATTACAACAGTGAATAATTGAGTCCATCTAAAATTTCATGTTATATTCATGACATACTTCCTAGATAAAATAGTTCATTTTCATACTCTCTTATACACTTGGCAAACAAAGAAAGGATATTTGATTTAAGAACAAAGAAAATAAAAATGCAAATTCTAATGGGGGAGACTGCATTTCAAACATATCTTCAAGTAATAAAGACAATGACTGATGTAAATATTTCTACCAGTAAACAAAAGATCTCTTTAAAATAAAAATATAGCTACAATTTATATTTCTTGGTGAACGCAAAAATATTTCCCAAATTATGTTAAGAAATTAATACAAATATGAGCAAAGTACAATCACATGCATATGCATATATATTAAAATGTCAAGATGATGTAACTTTTTTTTTTTTTTTTTGGTTTTTCGAGACAGGTTTTCTCTGTGTAGCTTTGGAGCTTGCTTCAACTGAATTTTTTAAAAAAACAAAATTGTCACACCAATGTGAGGAGTAAAAACAAACACTATTATCGGAGAAAACATTAAAGATTCCTGCTTGACTCTTTTTAGAAAGATATAGAAAGTAGTTGAGTTTGTAGAGGCCATTGAAACAGTTTGTAGAGAAACAGGAATTTAAACTAACCAAAGTTACATTTTATTTAGATCAATCATATCTTTCCCCTGTATATACAGTTAATTGTACTCTATAAAATATTTTATTTGATGTTTAGTGTATTTGAAATGATTTTTAATCTTTTTCCCAAGAAATTATTTTTTATTAGTTCAAATTGGAAACAAACCTGCTTCACATGTCAATCCCTTCTCCCTCTCCCTTCCCTCCTCCCCCACATCCCCACCATCTCCCCACCCCATCCACCCTCTGCTCCACAGGGAAGGTAAGGCCCTCCATGAGGGATCCCAAAAGTCTGTAATATCATCCTGGGCAGGGCCTAGGCCCTCCCCCATGTGTCCAGTCTGAGAGAGCATCCCTCCATGTGGGATGGGCTCCCAAAGTCCCTTCTTAGCCAGGGATAGATACCGATCTACTACCAGAGGCCCCATAGAGTGCTGAGGCCTCCTCATTGACATGCACGTTCAGGGTTCAATCCGGTGCTGGCCTCCCTGACATCAGTCTGGGACTCATGTGCTCCCCCTTGTTCAGGTCAGCAGTTACTGTGGGTTTCACCAGCCCGGTCTTGTCCTCTTTGCTCTTCACTCCTCTCTCTCTGCAATTGAGTTCCAGAGTTCACTTCAGTATTTAGCTGTGGGTGTCTGCCTCTGCTTCCATCAGCCACTGGATGAAGGCTCTAGGATAGCATATAAGGCAGTCATCAGTCTCATTATAGGGGAAGGACATTTAGGGTAGCCTCTCCACTATTGCTTAGATTGTCAGTTGTTGTCATCTTTGTAGATCTCTGGAAATCTCCCTAGTTCCAGATCTCTCCTTGAACCTATAATGGCTCCTTCTGTTATGGTGTCTCTCATCCTGCTCTCTTCTGTTCTTCCCCCAGTTTGATTTTGTAGTTAAAATTTCATGAGTAGTGGCTATTTTTACTTTTAGAAAAAAACTGAACTTTGATATATAAATTATTATAATTTGAGCTGTCCAATTATTTGGTTGAAGTAGATTTCAGTTTGTGGATGTAAGTGGAAAGTTCAATCCCCAGAACTCCCATGAGGGGAGAAGAGAACTGAGCAATGTGAATTCCTCTGAATTCCACACACATGGTATAGCACATGAGCCCACATATACACAAAATAAGTAAAAAATGTTTGACTTATTTAAAAGGTGCAAAAAGTAATAGTTAGTAGAAAGGTTGTTAGGGAGGTTCTGAGTTTAGCCATTTGGGGTAGTCTGTTGTGAATGTAATTGAAGATAAGACACGTAGCTTTGCTGAAGTGCTGGTGCACACATCTTTAGAAGTTGACAAGTTTGAGGTGGGAAATTAAGAGTTCATCTCTTCAAGGTGTGCAGCAAAGAGGTGGTTAGAGCAACCCTGAGCTGAACAGATCGGAGTTTTCGTGTGATGTCTCCCCCCCCCCCAGTTGATGAAATCATCTGGTTTTAGTTCTTATTTCTCTGGTTTTCCATCCCCTAGGAGCTCACTGTGGAAACTTGGTAACCAATTCTGAAACTTTTAGTTAACATGTTTATAAAAATGTATACTGTCTCTCTTAGCAGATGGCTCATATACTCATTTCCATTTCATTTATTATTATTGTGGGGTACATGTGAGTATGTTTGTGTGTGCACACAGGTTTGCATGCCCCTCCCCCGTGTGTGTAGGCATGCGTTGCAACAGCTGTGGTGATCCCAGGACACCTTCAAGTAAATGTTCTCTCCTCTCATTGTAAGTTCTGTGAAACAAATTCAGTCATCAAATTTACTTGGCAAAACTTACTACCTAGTTATTCAGCTATTTTTTTTTCAATTCTAGCATAAACCATAGGTAAGTTTTATTGGCTCATCATATTCTGGGATTCACCATAATAAGATATTACAATTTCCAGGTTTAAAATTATTTTACTTTTTTTTTTTTACCTAAATAGCAGGCATTTATTAGTTGAGTTTAATCTTCTTTTTCATTTTTATATACAACCCAATTGGATTAAAAATCTATGAAACCAAATGCTAGCAAAGCCACCACTCTGATATTGTGGCCTTTCTAATTTGGAAGTGTTCCTTCTTTGGGAGTAAGAAATCAACTTATAAACAAAGATGCTTCATCGTGATCTCATTTGGGAGTGTTCCAAGTTCCCATCTGTGCATTCTGTTATGGACATTAGGTTTTCTTTTGAATGGTCTGAGGAATCAGTCCCAGGACTCTAGTCTGCTCCTTGGAAAGGCTCCCTGGATGACCAAAGCTGGCTATGGTCCACTCCTTTACAGCTCCACGTGTGTGAGAAACCCTCTGTTATCTTGCTCTGG